CACTGGGTTGAATGGGGCTTCCTCATCTGCTGGAGTACAATTCCCAGCTGCCCCAAGGCCAAAAAGAGCGGAAAAAGAGGGACTGTCCCAAGGGGCAGGGCAGCATCAATACAGTCTGAAGTCCATCCAGGGAGGAGGCCGTCTTCGTCCTACAGGAGGTTAGGAAAGGCTCATGTTGCCTGTGCTGACCAGGCTGTCCAGGCCAGAAGCCACAGATGTGGGGGAGGCAGCAGAACTTCAGCTACTCCACAGTCAGCTGGACTGGGGAATGAATGGAAGTTTCCCTGCTCTCTTGGGCCAGAGAGAGAGAGAGAGAGAGAGGCTGGAGCACAGAGCCAGAGGCTGGTGTTTAACCCCTGGTTAACCCCTGTAGATTTATACCTTTGTGGGTTCATAGTGTGTCTTTACTCCTACAGCTGTGTGTGTGTATGCTCCATAACTGTGTAAATACTTAGATTAAAATCTTTTATTTGGGCTAATAATCTGTGTTGTGCTCTGATCTGTCTCCCCCACTCTGCACAATAACAAAGGGAGGGGGTAGCCCAAGGAGGCAAGGGAAGGCCAGACCCTTGGGTTGCCAACTTTCCAGGGATCCCCCAAAGATAGGGGATTCTATCTCCAAATAGGGAGATTCGGCCAGAGGGGTCTCACTGTGCCACGGTCATCTGAGGGAAAACACTGGTTTTCCCTCGGATGGTCGTGGCCCCGCCCCCAGCGTGCCCGGCGTTGTCGCGTCACTTCTGGGTGACGTGCGTGCGCTTTGCACGCACTCTCCAGCCGCAGCGCGGGAGTCCCCTGGTAAGGAGATATTTCAACTTGGCAACCCTAGGCGGCAGCGAACTTGAGTGAGATATGCCCACGGGACAAGGGTGGAAGGCGACCAGTTGAGTTGTAAACTGGAGCCTGTTTCGCCACAGTGAAAGCCTGGAATACAGGCGACCGGGGGGGGGGGGCGAGGGCCTGGGACCAGGAGGCCAGACTAGCGCTCGTTGTCTTCATTCCTACAACAGGCCTGATTCCTAGTATTATATAAACGTTATTCTTCTGGTCACTTATTGAACAAGGAGGGGATAATTCTTTCCTTACTCCATCTCCCAACATGTACAGTCGTCTTTGCTGTTTCTTTCTACAATCAGAAAACATGTGGCTTCTTTAGGTATACAACAGTAGAAGCTACCGCAGCACGTTCCAGAAGTTCTGGCCTCATCATGGAAATGTTGAGAAGAAGTTATCCTTTCCGTATTTCAAGTTTGAGGCTCCCCTTTCACTAGCCCTTTGTCTATAGATGGCGGTAACCTTGGGTTTCCTAATTTCATGACCTGAGTCTCCCCCGCATTTTTCCGGTTTGTGCCTGCCTACCTAACATGTTTTGAGATTCACAGGTTCAACATGCTACTTTTTGCAGAACCCAACTATTGTGGTTTGGTGCCAAGGGAGCCTTCAAAATGCAAAATTAAAAATTAGTCAGGTACTGTTAGATTAGTAGAAGATGCCATTTGTATGTGAATTCAACACAGATCTTGAAAAATCCAAAGCTTCATGCATCAGTATATTGGATTTCAGAGAAGATGCCCATTTATACCTTTGTCACATAAAAATAAAAGTATTTCCTTGCTAGGTCAGGCCAAGGTCCATGTGGCTCAAGGGAGGGGCTAGGTCAAAGTCCCCAGTAAAAGGGATCAAATACAAGTCATGTGAAAGATCTCTACTTGCAGCCTTGAGGGGCCGCTGCCACTCAGGATACTAACCATGATAAACCATGGCCTGGTTCCATATAGGACAAGGTTTATGCATTCAAACTGCTCATCGAAATTGGATTGGGGGGGGGGAGAATCACTGGATTGAAAAGGGGAATAGAAAAAAAAACATTTTCTCTACCCACACACACCCCAATAATTTGAGAACTCAAGGGTACCCAATGAATTTGTTGGCCATTAGATTCAGGACTGACTTGACTCGTCTGGTAATTAAATGGTGGGATTTGTTTCTAGTGGATGCAGTGATGGCTACGCTGCCATTGTATTGGGGGGGGGAGGCTGCTGGGTGAGTGTCTTCATGATTCTGGGATGTCCGCTTTCACTCCTTCTGCTGTGTCTTATCTATTAGCCTGACCTTGGTACTTGGGCGCTTTGCCCTGCCTGGGAACCGGCCCCCATTATTTTCGGCATGCAAGGCCTGCACCTCTGATTGGCTCGGCTCCATCAGGGGGTCCCACTTTGAATGTAGTCTATCTTCGCCTCTCCTGCCAGGGGAGTTAGCTCTAACAAAGAATATATGCACAGACGACCTGCCTTTCCTGTCCTCGATAAACCTGATCCTCCTGAAGGAACGTTGTTGTGGCTGATTGCTGTGGAACTGACACACGGGTGGCTTTAAAGGGGGATTAGGCAGATTCAGTAGAAGAGGATAGATCTAGCAGCAGCTAGTAGCTGTGTTTACTTCCTCCGCATTCAGAGACAGTAGACCTCTGAATGCCAGTGCTAAGAGGGCAAAACAACAAGAAAGCAAGCTGTAGTGAAGCGCTACACAATCCAAATGGAATTAGATTAGAAATCTGCGTTGGCCTCTCTGTTGAATCTCCAGGGCAACTGGCAAGCTCTTAGGTGAAGTGGGATGCTGGTCTAGGTGGACCACTGGTCTGATCTGGCCATGCTCCCCTGGTCTGTGGCCCCTCAGAAGTGGGATAGTGGTGATCCTTTGCTCTTTGGTGCCAAGGTTAGGGTTATTCTGCAAGGTTCTAAAATATGTTTAATTAGTGAATTCTGTAAGTGCTCAGAAAATCATCTTCTAATCTGACTCTAGCAGGCAGTCAGAGGCATTCCCCCCTTCCTGCTTGGGTTGCCAACTCTGGGTTGGGAGATTCCTGGATATTTGGGGGGTGGAGCCTGGGGATGGTGGGTTTGGGGGAGGAATCCGAGTAGGGTATGAAACCACAGAGTCCACCCACCAAGGCAGCCATTTTCTCCAGGGCAACTGGTCTCTGTTGTCTGGAGACAGTTGTAATTCCAGGAGAGCACCAGACCCCACCTGGAGGTTGGCAACTCTACCTCCCAGTCTTGAGACTATTTGGGCTAACACAGTATCTCAAAGCTATATGCTGTTTAAGAAATTATTCCTAAACCAATTTACTCTAAAGTCCAGTCTGTCTTTCATTGGTAACTCAGTCTACAGTATCCAAGCTTGCAAACACTGTATAGACTATTGAATTTTGTATATCCACAAATGACGTTTTTGCAGAACACCAAGTGATGGGCAGGAACACAGAGATTAACAGCAGGTTTAACGTCATAGCGTTTCTCTTTGTTCTGTTTTTCCTCTTTGCTTGTGGCACAGTAGATTAAAGACTTTGGGGGGTACTTAATGGGAAAACTGATGCCTTGGGGTGGAGATTAGACTTCCCGGCTCTCTTGTCCCTTCCAGCCCAAGGATTCTGTGCTTCTCTAAAACATATCAAAACAGTATCAGCTTCCGTTCAAAAAGTAAGTCTCCAGCAGTGTTCCCTCTAAGCTGAGTTAGTGTGAGCCAGCTTACAGTTTTTTAGCCTCCAGCTCACAGATTTTTGTCTCCGCTCAGGAAGGATGGCTCCAGAGCAAACTAATTCTTTCAGTAGCCAAATCGCTCACTCACAACTTTAATACCGGTAGCTCACAAAGTGGAATTTTTGCTCACGGGACTTCACAGCTTAGATGGAGCATTGGTCTCCAGTCCTCATGATTAGAAGGAAATGTTAGAAGCATTATTTTAGAATATGGCATCAAGGCTCAAACACTGGAAATATAAACCAGAATGCAGGCTGTGACGGAATGTGCCTGCTCTGGCCTGCCGGCCCTCTCCCACCCTGCCCTCCTGGGTTTTCCCAACACCTGGTGAGGCTTTTCTCTCTGGTAAATTGCCGCCACCACCTAACCTTTGTAGGAATTGCCTGCTGGGAGGGCCAGGACTCCCAGCTTTCCTTCCAAGTTCTGAGGCCTTGATGCCTCTGTGTCTCCCACTGCTCAGTGCCTGGTCACCACGAGGAGCGTTTGCTGTCTTGTGCGGCCCTGGAGGAACAACCACTTGCCAACTGCCTGCCTTCCCCCAGCGGTCCTTTTAAAAAAGTGTGTCCACGATGGTGGAGGTCTATGTGGTACAGAGAGCAAGTACCAGCATCAAAAGTTGTAAAGTATTTATTAAAAAGAAAATGTTCACAAGCATACTGTTAGCACAGCACTGGATTGAGCAAGGCATTCAAATGAAATGGGTGAAATACAATTCCTTTGTCCCTCTCGCTATACATGCCCTATCAGATGTTAAAATATAGGACAGGTTCCTTAGCTTAGGAAGTCACGGATCTCTACAGAGTTCCTTTACCTTGAAGTTTCCTTCAGCTCTTTAGGCCAACACGTGGTCAATAGCCACCTCCTCCAGACCTCAGCTAAGAGTTCTGCCTGCTCTGATGGACTCAGCACCAAAGAAACCTTCCTCCTTGCTTCCCTTTTATCACCTCTCTTTTCTCCACCCACTGACCAGGTCAGGCCAGGTCAGAGAGCTTTTCCTGAAGTCTCCAGAATTATCCTTCCTGAAGTCCCTCTAGTATTTAATTCCTTCAAATCTCCGTTCCCTGCTTGGGGCAGGGAAGTTTGACCCTCCCATTGTCTAGACCTATTAGCATTTATATGAAGGTGGGCTGAGGTAAGTCTGGAAAGCAGTTGAACTGACTCCTTCCCCCCTCCTGCCTGTTCTCTGCCCAGAGAGGGGGGGGGACTTTTAAACCTCAGAATGAAGGGTTTGTTCATTTCAAACCTTCAAAGAATAAATGCATTTCTCCACACTGGTTACTATGATTTTATAGCTAGGCATAAAATCTGATATCTTCGGGTGGATCTGTTGTGATTTCAAAGAAGAAATGCTTTATAGCAAACTATTTATTTCACTCGCATTCTTTCCCCCTTGGTTTTCCATCCTTGTTATTTCTTATTAACAACTTTTTTTCCTTATCTTTTCTCATCAACTTGCTCTAGGTATCAAACTGGTTTGGAAATAAGCGAATCCGGTACAAGAAGAACATAGGTAAATTTCAAGAGGAAGCCAATATTTATGCTGCCAAAACGGCTGTCACTGCTACAAATGTGTCAGCTCATGGAAGCCAAGCTAACTCACCCTCAACTCCCAATTCAGCTGGTTAGTTTTTTTTTTCTTTTGGGTTGTTATTGTTCTTTTATTTTCCCCTTTTCCCCCCTTGGGGTTTTATTTTCCTTTAGTATCAATGTGTTTATTTGTTTTTTAAAAATTGTTTTCTTCTTTGTTCACTTTGGGGGAAATGTATTCATTTAGGATATTTTGTTTCTGTCTGTTTTTTTGTTTCTAAAGGCGATGTGGTCTTGTTGTGTAATTAAATGTGTTGGGTTGTTTTTAGTTTTTTGCATGGATAACGTTTTACCCGAGTTGTTAATTCTGTCCGGAGAAAGGTTGTCCATGCATAATTTTATATGTCTCGCCAGGACAGATGGTTTTTTTTAAATTTTGGGGGTGACCCTGATACATAGAATCCAACATACAGAAGGGGGCACAGTTGACCACAAAGTTATATTAATATGATGTTGAAACTAATGGGACCTGTACATGTGCATATTATTCTCAGTGGGCTGCACATGAACACATTTTCTTGCGCCAGAACTTCCCAGTGGATTGTGCTCGAGACACACACAAACACACCTCACGGTCATGCTGTTTTGGGTCTCTTTGGAGTGGACTGCAGTCCTGAATTATTGCTTGCTTTCTCCATGATCAGTGTTTCTCCTACGAGTAGGACCTGCTGTGTCTTATTTTGATTTTCTTTGGTGCCAGAGGGCTAAAGAGATTCAAATGTGGTTTGTTCCTCCGCCTTATCTCTGTGTGGTCCTGTGTTGGTTTTCATGTCTGCTTGTCACGGCGTAAATTGGTTTTTAGCCAACTCTGTGTTGCACGTTTGCGGCATACAATATGATGTATTGTGTTTATGTCTAATTGTGTGCAGTACGATGGATTGTGGTTTTCTGGGCTGTGGAAAACTTGGGACATTATTTTTGGGAAAGGATGAAATTGATAACAGGGAGTATTCATACATATGTACTATATGATACTTTTGGTTTAAGAGGGGGGGGGATGTCAAATGTGCTGGGTTGTGAGGTTTGCTGTCTTCCTTCTGGGCTGCAAATCATATTGGGTAGAGATTAATATGAGACATTACTTTAAAATTGCCAGCAACCCCTTCCCAAGAAGGCTCAAACTGACAACATTTCACCTGTGTCTTATTGGAAAACATGATGAGCCCCTGCTTAGAATTACATCCAATATTAATAAAGCATTGAAGTTCCAAGTTCTTCCTGTTGGATGGTTGATCGTGGCAGGCCCTTGTTCTGACTCATTCTGTCAGTTATTCTAACCCACAACTCCTGACAGCTTGGCCCCGAGGCCCACCTAATAGAAAATGGTCCAGTGAACCTTCTCCTCATCTCACCATGGTGATGGTGGGAGGGCAGCTCTCACGATGAATTCACAGTTGAGCACAAGGTGAATTCTCCCAGTGGCCGCACATTTAGACAGAGGGGAGCTAGCCACTGGAAGCCAGAAGAATTCCCACCCATCCATTAGGAATTCAATGTTGTCCTCCTCTGCTGAGGGGATAAAATTGGGAATCCCTGTCAACATCACTCCTCCTTCTGTGAGAGAGTCAGTTCCTCCCACCCTTGTCTTCGCTGCCTGATGCCTGCCAGTTTGGTGCAGTGGTTAAGTGTGCAGACTCTAATCTGGGAGAACCAGGTTTGATTCCCCTCTCCTCCGCCTGCAGCTGCTGGGTGACCTTGGGCAAGCAGTAGTTCTGATAAGAGCTGTTCTTGAAAAAGAGCAGTTCCTGTCAGAGCTCTCTCAGCCCCACTGACCTCACAGGGTGTCTGTTGTGGGGAGGGGAAGGGAAAGGAATTTGTGAGCCGCTCTGAGACTCCTTTGGGTAGTGAAGGGCGGGGTATAAATCCAATCTCCTCCTCCTCCTCCTCCTCCTCCTCCTCCTCCTCCTCTTCTTCTTCTTCTTCTTCTTCTTCTTCTTCTTCTTCTTCTCCTTCTCCTTCTCCTTCTCCTTCTCCTTCTCCTCCTTCTTCTTGGTAGGCACAGTTGCCACAGGCTAAGGGAATGTTCCATAGGTGAGTCCTCCTGGCCTCTCCAAGAGAAGAAGTCAGTGGGTTACCAAGGCAACTGGAGCTTACAGGGTTTGCAAGCCAAGGGATCTCCACATTAGGGCACTTGCCCCCCCAACCCAACACATTAAAGCAGATGTAAGAAGTTACACATTAGTTCAGCAAGGTGCTTACAATACAAAGGAACTGATCCCTTGTATTAGTTCTGCTCTCTGGCTTGTGCACGGCAAACATTGGGGGGCGGGGGGGAATGGGCCTGTTTTTCTGCAGTGGTGAAGACTCTAACTTTCACAAGACCGAAGTTTTCACAAGACCATATTTCATGTAGGTTTCCTCATAAAATGTTCACAGCCATCTCCATTTAGTGGGGGAAACGTGGCCCTTTAGAGCATCGGCTTGCTGGAAAAGATAAGTGATTTTGCTTTGCCTGCTTTTCTGGTAGCCCAGAATGACTGTAAGTCTTGGGGCTGCATCATTTTTAGGTGTACCTCTAAGGGTTGGTTTTTTTCCCTTTAATGAACATCTAAAGTTTCGACATGCGGATGTGATAAACGCGTGCTTGCCGTCATTTGTATGGTGCATATTACAGAGCCAGCTGTAGTGCAAGTGGTTAGAGTGATGGGGTAGAACTGGACAGAATAGGGATGTGACACGACCTGTCATTTTTTTTTAAGAGCATTTTATTGAGGTTTTCTAAGTATACATCTGCAAAGATCAGTTAGTCCAAGAAACACAATTACTATAAAAGGGTAGATTCTATACCGAAGCAAAATACACACAAATAAACTTAAATACAGGGGAACAAATACGGAAGTTAGTTAGCACTTATAATATAGATTAATTTAGCCTTGACTCAATAGTGAATAAAGCCCATTTCGTGTCTATAATCTTTTCTGCTTCTACCTTTTCTAGAAAAGGAAACCATTTGTCAAGTGAGTCAAGAAGCAAGTTCCTCTCAACTGATTTATTTGTATATACTGTGAATTTTTCTAGTGTAAAGTAGTCCCATACTTTGTCTAGCCACTGGTCCAATTTGGGGGCATTCCTATTTTTCCATTGTTGAGCTATGGCTGCTTTGGCTGCCATTATTAAAATTAGGATCAGATCTTTATGTATCTTAGGAAGTTGATCTTCTGCCCATAGATTTAGTAGGATAATCGTTGGGTCTAATGGGACTTCAATACCCGTATGGTATGTTATGGCCTGTAGTGTCTGTTTCCAGAAAGCGCGAATAGGGACGCATTCCCACCAAGTATGGATAAAGGATCTTTTAGTTCCAGCAAAGGGAACTAGTGCTAGTACTGCAAGGAAGGGTGCCCTCAAAGAAAAATTCAGGGGTGGGAGGATTTGCTGTGAATTCTGTATGAAACCACCCTCTTGTCCGCAAAGGGAGAACAAGCATGGGCATGATTCTAGATCCAGAGGAGTTAGCGGTGTTATTCTGTTGCTGCAAAATACTAAAAAGCCCAGCAGCACCTTTAAGACTAACAAACTTTATTGTAGCATAAGCTTTCAAGAAACACAGCTGATGAAGAGGTGCTACTGGATTTTTTACTATTTTGCTAGATTCTAGGAAATGTAGTTGATGAGGTTCGTTTTCTCTTAGCAAACACACTGAGAATGGCCATTTTATCTGTGGAAGAAAACCCACATAGCTACCTTTTATTAGGACCAACTAAACCAGCATACAACATTGTGCAAGCTTTCAGCTCCCCAAGAACTCTTCTTCAGGCTGGACATTAATGAAAGTCGTGACATTCTGCCTGTGGGCCTTAACAGAGTCCCGTAAGTTGATGCCTCACTGAGTCTCAGGTCTGAGGACGTTGGGAAACACAGAACCAGGCACTTGGGGGGGGGGGGTATCATGGCTCAGGATGAGAAGTTTCCACTAATTGCCAGGGATGTTGTGTGACACCTTCAGCCTTGCTGTGAGTCAGAGCAGTTAATAGGATGGGATGAACCCATCCACTTTCTAGCCGACTGCTCTTCCTGTGCCCCCCTCTCTGCTTTCCTGCCAGGCGGGGCTCGTGCAAGTGAAACTCTCTTCATCTGCCCACCATCTTTCCCTCCCTGTTGCTTTCCCTCTCCTTCTGACTGCACGTTTCTGGTTCTCCCTCCCCACTTCCAAAAACCTCCTCCGTCTCTCTCAGGCTCTGATACCGTCTCAGGCTCTCTCTCTGTGTGTCTCTCCCTGTCGCTGCTGCCCTGTGTCTTTTCGGGTCTTCTCCTTCTCCCCTGCCGTGTCAATCAGTCATCCCTGGCAAACAGCGGCTCCCTCCTAATACAGGTGCACTTAAGACAGCATCTTCTTCGCAGGCCTGGAAACAACTCAATTGTTAATTCCTTAGTAATTTGAGCAAGGGCTAGAATGAATTATGTCTCTTTATTTAACTTGCTGCATATTTGACTGGATGGCTATTAATGGCAGTAAAAGAGGATCCCCTCCCCTTTACACAAGACCTTTGTTCTAAATACACACTCTAAGTATATACGAGGTGATGGTGTTGGTAGAGAGGAAGCATTTACAAATGATGAGGTTGTAGATGTATCTATTACATTAAAATAAAAGTCGTCAAAATATTTCCTTTCTATTTGATTTATTTCTCTTATGCCCCTGCATTCAAAGGCCAAGGGAAAATCCAGCAGTGACTGACTTGGTAAGCCTACAGTTAATAGGAGTCTGTTTAAAAGGAATTTAAAGAAACTTGGGGGAAGCACTTTCTTCATTCTTTTTTTATAGTTTCCTTTGGAAATAATATTCCTTTAAATATTTGTTCCTCTGATCCAAGCTGTGAAGAAGCCAGAGCAAAACAAAACAAAAATTGACTTTCCCTTTTTCTTTTTTTGTTTTGTTTTTTGAAATAAATAAACACTCCCCCCCCCAAAAAAAAAACCCTA